ACTCCCAGTTCAAGTCTCCCTGTAATTATCATTATTGGTAGCATCCGGCCAGGTCCATCACTGGATGGAGGAAAGTACCTTATCAGAGATACCTCTGTACTCTCTAAGAACATACTTAAGCATCCAGGTTACCTGTTTGAGAAGGCCTGGCGGATGTGTCAATTAAGCCTATTCTTTGCCTCCATTTGACCCTGGAGGCCTGGCTTTGCACTGCTAAGGAACTACTGCTTGTAAATGTATATATACCAGAACTCCCAGGGCAGGAGAGGACAGAGAAGAGAGAAGAGAATGGAAGAACAAGATGGGTAAGAACTTGAGAGGAACGAACTGAGATGGGGAAGAACTAGATTGAAGAGCTAAAAGAGAGAACTAGAGGAACGAGATGGAAGATGAGGAAGAGCCAGATGGGGAAAAACAAGATGAGGAAGAGCCAGATGAGAGAGAAGGAGACGGGAGAGGAGCTGATAGGGGAAAGAACTAGAGAGATGAGAACCTAGAAGGGACAGAACTAGATGAAGGAATTAAGATAGAACTTAGAGGGGATAGTAGATAAATATAGAAAAATCAGGCAAGAAAGGAGCTAGACATGAGAACAGAACTAAAGCTGTGTATAAAGGATGTTATGCCAGAGGAATTAAAGCGAATGGACCAACGAACTCTGCGTGCGTAGACTGATTTACCGACCCTAAAGAATAGATCCTCAGCTGGTTGATAGAGCCTTCCGCGGACCCTGGGAGGGGACTATCGAGGGGCTGGACCCCCATAGTCCTCGATAACATTGTGACTTATAGGAAGGCTCCAAGCTGCCTAAGGAGAACCAGCATCAGCAGGGTCCCCGTCACTATGGCTACAAAGAAGCATGGGGCCTGCCTGTCTGGGAGGTTTGATGAGGTGAGCTAGGAGCATTGCCTGCTCAGAGTGGAGGGAGCTGTCTAGAGTCCTGGAGAGCAATTCATAATCTTCAAGAGGATTTCTAGCTGGCGTGGCTGATGAGCTGTTGATCTCCAGGCAAAGGCTTGGGCAAACTGGCTTGGTCTTTTCATGTCTTGCTTATTCCTATCTGAAAACTGGGCATAAGCAATCCTTATTCTGAAAATCCTGCAGTGTTGTTGAGATCAGACCTATCTTGCTATATAACACCAGGGAATTCCATGTGAGGTCTACAAGACCTGGGTGAAGTTGATGAAATAGAAGTCATAAAGGAAAACTCCCCATGAACACGAAAAGAACTGTGCAGATATGTGTGGCTACACTGTTTAATGCCGCATGTCAGATGAAAACGGCCTCAGGGCGGCAGGCAGTTGTAGCTAGAGAGAGACTAGTGATCCTTTGGTGTTTCAATGGACCATTGGTTCTGGATAGGAGATGGGCAGACGCGGAGACCCTGGGAAATAGATCCTCCCATGGAATTTAATGTCTGAGTCAGCTGGCCCTTCAGAGGGGGCTGCTTGTGGCTCTGGTCTTGATGGCCTTTGCTTACCGGTCAGAAACTCTTTCAGTTTCGTCCTGGTACTGTGTTTCTAGACATCACCCCTGGCCCTACTCCAGAATAAAGTCAGCAACAGGGGAGTACCAAGAATCCAGAGGGGCTGCTGATATGCGACTTGCTAAGTGCCAGCCCCTGTGCAGGTCACTTTGGACACTCTGTCCTCCTGTCTCTGAGTAAATGTTATTGTTTTCCAGATAGACACATCCTGAGAGGCTTCTTCACACTTGGTCGGAGTGAACTTACCATGCTGGCATCTCCTTGGTAAGCATTGGCTCTGGAGCTGGTTCTGGTGCTTCCTGAAGATGGGATTTTTGTGGCAGGAAGTACAGGAAGGATTCTGTCTCTCGGAGATTCATATCACTCCAGGGAAAATGGAAGCTTCTGAAAAGTCCTGCCCTGGGGATATTTGGCCAAAAACCAAAAACCAAAACCAAAACCAAACCAAGCAAAACACCCCAGTAGTTCCTATGCATATTTGAATATGATGGCTTTTCACCCCAACTGATTTGGGAAATACTGAGTTACATCATACTTATTTTTTCCCTGGAGTCCTGGAGAGCAATTCATAATCCTCAAGAGTATTTCTAGCTGGCATGGCTGATGAGGTGTTGATCTCCAGGCAAAGGCTTGGGCAACTGGCTTTGTCTTTCCATGTCTTGCTTATTATTACTTGAGAACTGGGCATAAGTAATCCTTATTCTGACAATCCTGCAGTTTTGTTGAGATCAGACCTATCTTGCTATATAACACCAGGGAATTCCATGTGAGGTCTACAAGACCTGGGTGAAGTTGATGAAATAGAAGTCATAAAGGAAAACTCCCCATGAACACAAAAGGACTGTGCAGATGTGTGTGGCTATGCTGTTTAATGCCACATGTCAGATAGAATTATTAAAGACAGATAAAAACCCTGTTTTTTCATTGGGGCTCTTATATTCTTTTGTGGGAGCTAAGAGATGTGACACCCAAGCAGAGCTGCATGGAAACTTAGAGGAGACACTCGCTCTCTCTGTCTCTCTCTCTGTCAGTGAATGAGTCAACCGGGATCACCTTGTAATGGCAGGGACAGTGCCAGGGCCTCTAGCCACAGCACCTGCACTGGCTGTAGGTATTCCTGCCTCTCCAGGGTCACCTGTGCAGCTGGCCTTCTTGGCTTCTACCACGAACAGAGCCACAGGCAGCCAAATCCTAGTCTGGCCACAATCTAAGCCTGAGGTGGCCCCGCCTGAGGGGCTAACAAAAACAATCAGATTCTCAACAGGAGAAATCCGACCACATACATGGAGAGACTTGATTTACGGCAACAATTACAGCTGGGACGTCACGAGCTGAACTCAGGCTGGGGAAGTTCAGGGGGCAGATGTCATTTGGTTAGCTCAGTGGGGTTTGGCTTGGGACAGAGAGGCAGCTACTTAGATAGAGGATCCTAGTGGGTCAAAGGGCCAAAGAAGAGAGCATCATTTCATTGGGAGAAGGGCAAAAAGAAGAGCAGAATGTGGGCTGGAAGATGCAAGATTTTCTGCTGTGTCTTGGTATTCTAGACCAGTTAGATTTAGGCCAGAGGGAGTCCACTGCTCTGGCAGCATCCCGGCCTCCTCTGTCTGGCTCTCCTGAATGCATGAAGTGTGGTGTTACAGACAAGCCACATCTTGGTTCTGGTTCTAGGTGTGCCCCTTCCTGTGGGTTCTGCATCCTCACTCTCACTGCTCAACTGGAGAAGTAATGGCTGAGGGAAGATCAAGTGAGACACCAGGGTTGAAAGCCTTATTGTAAGTGGAACAGTTCATTACTGGTACGAGCCATAAAAATATAGCAAAGAGGGAAGCCATAAAAATACAGCAAAGAGATGTACTTAAGAGCTGGAAGAGGGGTCAGCTGTGCTTGGGGACACTAAAGGAGTCAGTGTCCAGCTGATGAGGACCATGTGGCCATGAAGAACATGTGCTGTGTGGCTTCCGCTCCAGGCTCCCTCCAGTCTGGCTCTCTTACATCACACCTACAATTCCACTTGCCCGTGGTCATGCTGAATACCGCCAAAGCAACGCATAGAGGACAGAAACTCACAGTCCACGAGACTTTTAAAGACTCAGCATCCAATTTCCTCACTCTGTAGATGGGAAAACTAACGTCCAAAGGGATGATGGGATGGGATGTTGACTAATGGAGAGCCAGTAAATCAGATCCATCTACATAAAGTGATGAGCCCGGAACACCTCGGTTGTGATGGGAGAGGGAGGAGAAGCTGCTGGGTTGAGGCTCCGGGGATAGTGAGGAAGAGGAGGGTGTGTGAGAAGTGTCAACAGTCCAGTAGCACTGAAAGAAAGGAAGGAAGGAAGGAAGGAAGGAAGGAAGGAAGGAAGGAAGGAAGGA